AATTAATGGTCTTATAACTATGAAATCAGGCTCTGTTTATGTGTGAAATTGTCCAGGTTTAACAAGCTATAAAATCAATAGGCAAGCTGACTAGGGTTCTGCCACTTTGCTTTTGAACAAAATACTGCATATTCTGTGTTTGTGATGTTCATCTAGATACCATATTCTAGGGCTTTCTGAATTTCTTCAAAATCAGTTATTTGAGACGTGCTACGTATCTGTTTATGTGTGGAGGTAAAACATGAGCCCCCAATTGCTTCCCTATTTAACGGTCCTATGTGTTCTTTATTGTCGCTTAGATTTTACCTTTTAAATACCTTAGGAGTGTCTAGAACTGCCTAAGTATAGAGGTCTTAAACACCTCCGGGACCACAAGGAAAGGACGGGTAAAGCACGCTTAGAGTTCGTTAATTAAACTCACTTATATAACCACTAAGGGGAGGATGATGGATAGTAAAAGGATATGATGACATGTGCGCTAATGCCACGTGTAACCCCTCTAGTTAAGGAAAGCTTACCGGGTATTGTACAGATGTGATCCTATAGGCTAACCAACTTAGGACTTCCTTTCCTCAATTTATGTATGTGTGCTTAGACTGTTCAAGCTTCCCTAACTCAAGTATGTGTGCCTAGACTATCTAAACTTCTTAAATTTACATATGTGTGCTTGGACCATCTAAACTTTCTTGATTATATATGTGTGCTTAGACTGCATAAACTACCTTTATTTGCAAATATGTGCTTAGACCGTTTACCTACTAAATGACTAATTCACATAACTAAGTTCGGCCGAGACCCACCGTTGTGGACCGCAAGGGGTGCCTAACACCTTCCTCTCAAGATTATTTCGATCCCTTACCCTAATCTCTGGTAATGCAAACTAGTTACATGAGTTAATTGCTTTAGGTGCCCTAACACACCTTAATCCATTAGGTGGCGACACTTCAAATACCCAATTCCCAAAAGGAAACGAGTTGTTCCCAATGAATGTCGAAACCCGGACTCCGCGAAGGAAAAAAAGGGTGCGACAACCACCTCTTTGCAGAACCTGTCATCTGAAACACAACAAAATCGACCCCATTGGTCTCAACTATCCATATGTTCTGCAATACCTCATGGCAGCGGTCAAGGTAATCTCGTGGGTCCTCAGAAGGTGCACCACTAAAGTGAACTGGTTAGAGCTTTGTGAACTTGTCCATCTCAATAATCCCTCAGAAGACATGGCAGGCCTATCACTGTCCTGTGCCGCAACAACCGACCGAACAACCCTAGCTAGCGGGGCTACTCGTGTCTGATACTGGGGAATCATCTGCTCCGGAGTGTGAGTAGCGAGAGTCTACTCCTTTCCCAGCCTGAGAGACGGCTGGTGCCATAGGAAATGTACCGGCCTGGGATACGCTCTCCATAAGGCCCACCAAACGGACTAGAGCGTCCTGAACTACTAGGGTGACGATGAACCCCTCCGGGATCTGAGTTGGTCCAATATGTACAGTCTGAGCTGAAACCTCCTCATCAAATTCCACCTGAGGCTCCACTGCTTATGTTGCTGCTCGAGCTTTAGGCAGAGCTCTGCCTCTGCCTCTGCCTCTGCTTTGTCCTCTGGCGCGACCTCGGCCTCAACCTCTGCCCCTCGTATGAGCTGCTACTGGGGGCTCCGGCTGCTGTCCAGCTGAAGATGCAGTATGTGTTCTTGCCATTTGTGGGAGGACAAGAATGGAAGAATTCAATCAGCAATGATAGAATAAAATCGCATGATAGAGAAGAATAGAATGAAATTTGTTCCTAAACTTCATTGACTCTAAAAGATAAGTACAGACGTCTTCGTACCGAACCTCTAGACTTTACTAAGCCTGATCGTGACTTGTGAGACCTAGGCAACCAAGTGCTCTGATATCAACTTGTCACGACCCGAAATTCCCACCTTAGGGACCAAAATGGCTCCTAACATTTCACTTGCTAGGCAAGCCAACGTTAGAGGATCTTTAATCCACTTTTAACCAATTCAAATAAGTAAAACCAATTAAACCGAAATGTAACTAAAATGGAGTACGAAATGACATAAAAACCAATAATATCTAAGTACAACCCGAATCTAGAGTCATAAGTACATGAGCTTTTAGAGTCTCTACAAATAGGGTTTGAAATAAATACAGCTGTCTCGAATGAAAAGAACAGTAAATAGGGGGAATGGAAGGGGCCTTCAAGGTCTGCGGACACCAGCAAATTTACCTCGAGTCTGCAAATGCTAATAGGAGCTGATGCACCTCACATACAACTAGGACCACTACCAAAATCTGCACAGAAAGTGCAGAGTACAGTATGAGTACAACCGATTCAATGTACTCCGTAAGTGTCGAGCCTAACCTCGACGAGGTAGTGATGAGGCTATGACAGGACACCCATGTAATTAAACCTGCATAGATGAAAATATACGTGTAACATAATAACAAATAAAGAATTAACAAGTACTATTAGGATGGGACATACGTAAGGGGTACAAGATACGACAACTACAACAGGAAATGATAATAAGAAATAGTCAATAAACCTTTAACCAACAAAACGAACAACCATAATGAATAAAACTGCACGGCATCACCCTTCGTGCTTTTACCTCAGCCAAACCATTAAACAGTAATTATGGCACGACATCATTCTTCGTGTTTTTACTCTCAATCTCTCTATAAAATGATAAATACGACATTGCATCACCCTTCATGCTTTAATTCTCAAATACGACACGACATCATCTTTCATGCTTTAACACTCAAATACGGCACCGACATTATCCTTCGTGCTTTAACACTCTTCTTACCATGTAACAATGAACATATAACAATAGGGAGATAGAATAAGCATGATCAAGTCTTACGTCAACAATGGTTCCACAATTCCAATCTCAACTTCAGAAACAATACTCAGTTATCACAGATAGCCCATAAATGCGGAAAGAACGATCAATTTAGTAAGTAACTAGTCTAAGCATGGATATCATGATCAAAGAAAGAAAGAAATTACAAGAAACAAATCCCACCTACATTCTTTAACCCAATAACAACGCATAAATACTCGTTACCTCACATATACGTTGTACCTAATATTTAAACAAGTAGCACATAGCAAACAAGTCCTAATCCTTCAAGTCAAGGTTAACCACGATACTTACCTCGCTCCAAAGATCAACTCAAAGCTCAACAACGGATTTGCCTTTCAAGCAAGCCCCCGAACCAACCAAATCTAGCAAATTATCAATCAAATGATTTAAAATAAGCCTTAGGAACTACCCACGAATGAAAAAGGTTCAATTTAGGCCATTATTGAAAAAGTCAACAAAAGTCAACTCTCGGGCTTGCTTGGACCAAACCCGAAATTCGGACCAAAATTCGATTACCCATTTACCCCCGAGCCTGGTTATGTAATTTGTTTCGAAAGCCGACCTCAATTTTAGGTCTAAATTTCAATTTTACAAAAATCTCTAATTCTACCCAAACCCCCAATTTTCACCACGAAAATTCTAGATTTTAGGTTGAAATCTTATGAAGTATAATGAAAAATTGAAAGAAAATAGGTTAGAATCACTTACCGATGAATTAGGGAAGAAGAGCCCTTGGGGAAATCACATCTAGGGTTTCTAAGTTTGAAAATTTGAAAGAATGAGAGAAATCTCGTATAATTTAGCTTACGTCCAGGCGCAGATGTGCGAACCTCGTAAATGTGAAAAACCCTTTGCAAATGCGAAGTTCTCACACCTCTGCTGCCATCGCAATTACGATGGTTTGTTCGCATTTGCAAACTTGAACTCCTCGCAATTGCGATTATTTTGATCGCAAATGCGAACACTGCCTTCCCCAGCCCACTTCGCAATTGCGAAGAAATTGATCGCAATTGCAAACCATTGATGCCTAGCTACTCTTCACAAATGCGAGGAAATATGCGAACCTCACAGGAATTCTGCCATATCGCAAATGCGAAGCCTGACCTCGCAATTGCGAGGTCTGAGGCCTGCACCAGAAACTGAAGAACACCAGTTATTTTCTAAGTCCAAAATATCATACGAACTTGCTCGCACGATCAAATCACTAAAATAACACCTAGAACTACGAATCGCACACCAAATCAAATGGAATTTTTAATGAAACTTTAGAATATCTAGTTTAACAACCGGACGTCCGAATCACGTCAAACCAACTTTGATTCTCACCAAATTTGGCAGACAAGTCATAAATATAGTAATGAACCTATACCGAGTTCCAGAACCAAGATACAGACCCGGTATCAACAAAGTCAAACATTAGTCAAAACTGAATTCATTAAACCTTTAAACTTAAAAAATTCGACAAAAAGTGATAACTCGAGCTAGAGACCTCCGAATTCAATTCTGGGCATACGCCCAAGTCCAAAGCTATGATACGGACCCACCAGGACCGTTCAAACACGGATCCGAGTCCGTTTGCTCAAAACATTGACCGAAGTCAACCCGAATGGATTTTTAAGGCAAAATTTCACATTTTATCAATTTTTTGACATAAAGCCTTCCGAAAAAACACCCCGACTGTGCATGTAAATTGAGGAAGGCTTAAAGAAGCTATTGGAGGTTTTGAAACATAGAATTAAGGTTTAAAACTCCAGATAACTTATCAGGTCATCACAGTGTGTGAAAGAATCACTAATTTTTCAAGAAATATTAAATTCTTGAACCTTTTATTGCAGCAGTACAATGAATTTGTGCTAATAACGTCAAAGTTTGAGACCATCAAATTTAAATCCATATCTGAGTGTAACACCGGGCATGAAAAAAGCTAAACACTAATCAGAAAACTTAATGCCAAAAAATAATGTAGATGCATGAAAAAAAAACCAAATTATACTTAATAAAAAATGAGATGAAAAAACACATTATGAGTGTGCAACCAATTTCTTTTTGTCATGTGACTGATGAAAAGACCATTTGTTTTATTTTTAGTTAATTTTTCACACCAATTTCTTCAGTAGATGATGTTTCAACTGTGGGCATTCTTCTCAGTTCCCTCAGGGTGTCCACTAGAGGATGCTGCTTCTATTTTAGGCACTGCTGATGAATTTTCATTACCTTCCTCAGTGTGCCCATTGGAGCATTCTTCAATTATAGGCATTGCTGATGCATTGTCACTGGGCTTAAGCAATGGCACCCTACTCACAGACACTGATTTGGACAAGCTGATTGAATCATCTATATTGGGCTTGGGCTCTTCAATTTCATCTGTTTTGTATTTGTACCAAGAGGCCCAAAAGAGGTAGTTCAGAAAGTTGAGCCCACTAAGAATAGCCAAGAACCAATAGAAGAGGTGCAAATTATTCTGATCTAAGTCTAAGCCCACTAACCATCCTTTCTTGCTTGGTGCTCTTCTTTTTGTCACTGAATTGATGATTTCTACAAGGACGCTACTCAAGAAGTAGCCCAAAGAAATTGAAATCCATGTAAATGAAGTGGATAAGGACCTCATTCCAGCAGGTGCTTCTTTGTAGAAAAATTCAAGCAGGCCCACTAAGGTAAACATGTCAGCTATTCCAAAAATAGCATATTGAAATCCTAGCCAAGCTAGATGAATAGGCTTCAAAGGATTTTTCAAGGAATGGTGCTTTCTTTTGATCTCAACTAGGGCAGCAACAGCCATGGACACGATCGATAGGACTAGTCCGACCCCAACACGTTGGAGTTGAGTGATGCCTGAGGGATGTTTGGTGATTTTTCGAGCAAAGGGGACGAAGAACATGTCATAAATTGGGATGAGAATACACATAAAGATTAATGGAATAGCGGGCACTGAAGGTGCTGGTACCTCGAACTTTTTAATGAAACGGTTCATTCGATAGCCTTGTGCAACTGAGAATGTTTGGAGTTGGGCCATACATGTATTCATTATAATTGTACTAGCTATGATAGGCAACATTCTTGTTAACACTTTCACTTCTTCAACTTGTGTCACAGTGCAAACTGTCCATGGAGTGGCTTCAACAGTTTTAGGAAGGATTGCAGCTTTGTCTAAGAATCTGCGTAATTCACAATATTATATCAACAGTTAATTTACTTACGGATAACACATAAACAGAAACGTTAACCCACACGACCTGACGACGTTATTATAGAGCCATTAGGAATTATGTAAAGGTCGTGTGCTTTGTGCATAAAATTGACAAAACTAATGACTAAGTATACTACTACTGATAAGATAATATGTAAGTATGAAGCTTGAGGGTGAGTTAGAAAGTGGAAAAGTGAAAAGCAATAGTAAAGGCAAAACTATATAATATCAAATTGTTGGTTACTTGATATCATTGTGGGGTTCTAGGGAATAGTCAATGACGTCTAGAACTATCACCTTTCTAATTAGAATGTTAAGAAAAAAAGAAATAAGAAAAGAGTTTAAAATAACAAGAAGAAAATGAATGCATCATGCATGATTGGAAGATCTAGTGTAGTGCGTGAAACCTTTTAGAAATGGCAAACTTTCTCTTGGAACTATGACGCCCTTTTTTGCTTAATGGAAGAAATTAATTATATTTTAGGAATGGACCTAAAAAAATTTATGCAGTGGGTTCCCTTTCTCACCTTCCCTCTTGCTTTTATTCTTTGAACCAAGTTGGATTTTCCTTAAAAACAAATATATACTTAACAAATAAGATTGAAAATACTGTCTTTTCTTAGTATTCATCAGAGAATTAAAGTAACATCACCTGAATTGTTTAGTATGTGCAAGTTTTTGCTGTGACGAGTCTGATTCTTTATCATTAATCTCATACAGCTCGTCAATATTTTCTGGTATTTGCAAATTTCGGTTTTCGATTGCTACAACGATAACCTGAGAAAAACCATCAAGTTTAAGCCCTGTGATTTTTATGATTTACTTTCAAACACATTTTCATATTATTTTTCCTTCAAATTGGCATATAACAGAAAGCATAATAAGAAGAGACTAATATAAACCTGGAAAATTCTAGTAAGAGGGCTTCCAGCAGGACGTTGAAGGCGCAAGAAAGGTTTTCCAAAGGCAAAGAAAACAAAACCAAGTGAAGTAGCAACCAAACTGATGAGAAAACCTTTCCACCAAGCTTTAACTGTACTGACATAGACAACAAACGTAACTCCAAAAGCTCCACCAATCACAGAACTAAGCAATACCAAATTGAAGTATCTTCCAAGAGCCTTAGCCTCTTTTGGATCCTTCTGATCAAATTGGTCAGCACCCAATGCTGGCAATGCACCCCTAACCCCACCACTCCCCAATGCAAAGCAGCAAAGTGATGCATAGAAGAACACAGCTTTCCATCCTGATATGCAATTTGGCACCACACATTCTGGTTGCAAACTCTTGTAATGAGCTTGAATTGTTATCAATGCAAATGCCTACAATCATCATCATGATCATCATCATAAAGTATTATCATTTTCAAGAGTCTTGTGTATAATTTGGTAGAAGGGGAACCTTGAGTAAAGTTGTTGTCATGTGACCCGGAGGTCACGAGTTCGAGCCGTGGAAACAGTCTCTTGCAATAATGCTGGGTAAGACTGAGTACAATAGACCCTTATGGTCTGGCTTTCCCCGGACCCCACGCATAGCGGGAGCTTAGTACACTAGGTTGCTTTTTTTTTGTGTGTGTATAATTTAGTAGGATGGAAGGCACTCTAAAAAAAATGATTTCTAGAGTCTTGTGTGTAATTTGGTAGGACGGATAGGCATTCTAAAATAATAATAAAAAAAATTAAAAAATATTTTTTCTGTTTGGTTGGTCAGTGAAAACTATCTTTTAAAAGAATTATAATTTAGATTAATAGTATTAGGAAATCTAACATTACGTAAGCATTAAGGTAATTGCAAGGAAAATAATTTCCAGTCAAAAGTGATCGAGGAAAACCATTTCTCCCTTTTGATGATATTTTTTAATTACCAAACACCAAAAAATCATGACGTCTCATTGAAAAACATTTTATTGGAAAGGTACTCCTGTCATCCGAAACATACCATAACACATTGGTTAGTTTTTTTTTTCTTCTTCAGGTGAATAACTTTATTGTCTTATTGTAAAATGTAGATAAAGATGCTAAAATCTTTTAACTTACTAGAATTTCGAAGGGTCCAAAAATTAGGACAGTATGGTATCTGTTGATGTAAGTATCAGAAATGAAGCCACCAAGAATGGAGAGCAAGAAGGTTGAGCCCATCAAGTTAGTGAGAGTATTAGCTGAGCCAGTGAGGTCAAATCCCATCACAAAACTGAAGTATAATCCAAAACTCACCATGATTGCAATAAACCCCATGTTTTCTAATCCTAACAAACCTATAAAAAAATTGGCCAATCAAAAACCAGGTACATGATTAACAAGGTCTTATATTACAAATACTTTAATTGGAAAAATATAATTCTTACCATAGATGAAGGTGGTAGCTCTAAATCCACCTTTTCCTTTAGTTTTGCTTGAAGTCATAGAATTATACTCTGTGCTTTTACCCTCCTCCTAATAGCACACAAAACAAATTTAGAAACAACACCACTATGGCATTAATTTAGTGTTTATTTTTTTTTCTTTTTTTTTTTTACAGAAAATGGAAAGCGAGCACTTACCATGGCTGCAGAAAGTTGAGACGATTGGCAGTAAAAGCCAAAGTATTTTGTAGGACTTAGGTTTAGAAAGATGAAGATTTAGAGCTATAATACGAAGAATATAAAGTAGCAAAAAGCTTAGAGTGGAAACGTTGCATGTAACGTTCATGGCATAAAATTTATCGCTTTCTTGTTGTGATCAGAAGGCGTCACTTTCATTCTCTTTCTCCTTGGTTCGCCTTCAATGTTCATGATTAAGATGTGCGTGGCTGGCATCTAAGTTGGGGATTACTTCACTCTGACAAATGACAATGGCCATTAATACCTTAAACTATATAATATATTTGGGTTGTGGGCGTACTTCACTTAAGTATCTATTATCTTATTAACTTATAACTCTCTCATTTCAGCCAAACAACCTTGTTTTCTCAGTTGAAATATATTTTTATATTTCTTTGTTTCTTTTTATGGGTGTGATTTGGGGGGTTGGGCTATTGCTTCCAAAATATAATTTGGATCTAGTATGCTAGAGTTGGCCGAAAAAATGGAGAAATTTTAATTTGTGCCTCACATTCCACGTCATACTAATGTGAGGCGCTTGATTACTTGGCAATTGGATTCATGGGTCCCATTTATTTACTTTGAAGATAAAACTAAAAAAGGCAATTTAAAAGTCACACCATTTTTACCTAACTAAGGACAAAAATAAGTATTAACATACTAACCAAAATCGTAAGAAAATAAGTGAAAATAGCATGTGCTAGCCAGTTTTTGGACTGGTAATTGAAAAATAGTCAGCGTTTGCAAATTCATAGAAAAATAACCACTATTTTGTTGCAACACGGAAAGTTCTAGCATAATATACTGGAGATTGGTATACCCTTGTATGAACTTCCAGCATATTATGTTGGAACTCCAACACACAGAAAGTTCCAGCATAATATACTATAGATTGGATCACCTGTATATGAACTTCCAGCATATTATGTTGGAACTCCAACACACAGAAAGTTCCAGCATAATATACTATAGATTGGATCACCTGTATATGAACTTCCAGCATATTATACTGGACCAATATATTATACCGGAACTCCATTATATTATGCTGGAAGTCCAGTATATTATACTGGAACTCCATTTTATTATGCTGGAATATTTTTCGATTTTTGAACAATGTTTTCATTCAGATTTATCTTTACATGAAAAGTGGCTAAATTTCGATTACTTTTGAAACTGTGGCTATTTTTCAATTACTACTTATAAATCTAGTTATTTTTGGATTTCACCTGAAAATATATGCATTTAAAAAGCTAAGCCTTCTGATTGGCACAAGAATTTTCCTTTACTTGTGTTGAAGAAGAAAAGCCAAATAACCGTTTGCTCAAAGAATTGATATGGAGGATTTACATGTTGATGACGATACGAACTTTAATTAAGCAATCTATGTCACGACCCAAACTCAATCCGTCGTAATGACGCCTATCGTGGAACTAGGTCGGCCTCAACTCAACAAAAATCCAACACCACAATACTAAGATTGAAAACATTTGCGAAAAACTTTTATCATTTTAAATAAACTATTTAAAATATAGAAGAAATATGACTCACAACACGATACAATTAGCCCAAAACCAGGGTGTCACAGAGTGCATGAGCGTATAAACAATAACATAGTCTATTACAATGTTTACTGAATACAACTGAAACACATCTAAAATAGGAAAGGAGGGTCAAGGCCTGCGAATGCCATGCAGATACCTCAACAATCTCCAAAGCCTACATCCTCAATCAGCGACTGCCACTGGGACCAAATGTACTGGATTTGCACACAAGGTGCAGGGGTAACGTGAGTACACCAACTCAGTAAGTAATAAGTCCAAACTGTAGACTGCAAGGTAGTGACGAACTCAACCTCATCAGAGATAACAGAAATAACGTACAGGAACGTAGGCATGCTTTCAGTTAAATAAACAGCTCAAAATAGTTAAACAGAGCATGTATGAATATGGTAAGGAAATATAACTCTACTACATCTATATGCCAATGCACATGCTGTATGTAATGCACCATTCTGAGTGTCTCATGTGCCCACAATCTCATATGCTCGTCCACTCAGTACTCTATATGGCCCATGCGGCCCAGGGAAGATTCATCCTAGAATATATACATCTCTGACAGCAGTCACTCAGTACTGAGGTAGGGCAATCCAGCCATATGGAGAATATCCATCTCCAAATAATGATAATAACCTCACAACTACTCGGTACTGTATATGGCTCACACGTCCCAGGGAAGATCCATCCCGGAATATATACATCACTGACTATCAGTTTCCAGTACCGAGGAAAAATAGGCCAATCCAGCCTCATGGAGAAGATCCATCTCCATGCCAAGGGAAGATCCATCCCTAAATATAATCAACTGCGCTAACTGGGGGGTGTTACAGACTCCTGAGGGGATTCTTCAGCCCAAGCGATATCATAATTATCAACATAACCACTGTGGCGTGCAACCCGACCTAATAAATGTCACTCATAATCAGGCTCTCGGCCTCACTCAATCATCACTCTCCAGTCTCACCACGGGCTCACAAATGCCATGAAACTAGATCGGGACAATTATATGATGTGCAAATAAATAACAACTGAGACTGAGATATGATCTGAAATGCATGAATATGACTGAGTACAGAATACCAATGAAATCAGTGAGATGATAGTAAGAAAACGACCACTCAGGTCCCAACAGTATCGGTGTAAGGCCCTAACATGATATCTAGCACGATTTACAGTTCATTTACATAATCACATGGTGGAAATACAAATATAAACAAGAAAGAGTCACTAAACGGTGCCATGGAATGAACCAGGCCACAATTCTCCCGGTGCACGCCCGTACGCCCGTCACTTGGCATGTGCGTCACCTCAATACTAATCACATAACACGTAGTTCGGGGTTTCAACCCCTCAGAACTAAGTTTTAAAGCGTTACTTACCTCAGACCAAGCAAACTCCTACTCTGCTATGCCTTTGCCTCTCAAATCGAACTCTGGATGCTCCGAATCTAGCCATAAACAATTCGATACAATCAACACGAGCCAAAGAAATCAATCCCATAAGAAAATGCTAAGCTTTAGGCCAAAAGTAAAAAATTCAACTCAAAATCTAGGCCCCGGGCCCATGTCTCAAAATCTTATAACCCATTTGATTACGATACTAACCATACTAGTATCACTCAATTCCAACTTTGAATCGGCTTCCAAATCCCAAAAGTTCATTTTATGGAACTCCACACATTTTCCCCAAATTCCATCCCAAATTACTAATCAAATGATGAAATCAATAATATATTCATGATTATTAACCAAAACCGAGTTATAATTACTTACCTCGATGATTTTCTTGAAAAACTCCCAAAAATTAGCCTCAAATCGAGCTCCCAAGGTCCAAGATGTGAAATAAACCCTAAACCTCGTTTATATAGTGCTCTATGAACTTCCATTCTTGGGTCCGCGTAATTCTTACCGCGACCGCACAATCCCCACCTCGGTTCGCAAAACTCTACCGTGGCCGCAGGTCCTTGATAACTAGGGATTTTGACGCATTTTGTACTCCTTCTTGCTTACACTTTGATTATAAATTCATACAAAATAGTCCCAAAAGGCTCATAAGTTGTGCTTGATTGCAGATTTGATCAACAAAGTGACAAGATGTCAAAGATCATCTCAAATGGAGTGAAACTTGCACAAGTACCAAAGACAAGGCAAATTCAGGAAAAACACGCCTAGTGTGGCCGCACTACACTTTCTGCGGTCCGCACTAGGGAGATTTAGAGAGCTGGTATTTCAGGCATTAAGGCAGTGCAGCCGCAGAAGGTTTTGTGCGGTCCGAATTGAAGGCAATGCGGCCGCACTACCATTCTGTGCGGTCCGCGGAGCTAAGGTTCAGAGAGGGTGAAGTTGGAGCTTTCAAGCCTGTGCGGTCAACGGTCCAGTTTGTGCGGACCGCACTAGAAGCCTCCGCGGCCGCAGTTCATTCTGTGTAGTCCGCGGAGCCTGAGTTCAGAGACTCAAGTTTTCAAGTTCAAGAGCCTAGTGCGGCCGCACACCATTTTGTGCGGTCCGCACTAACCCCGCAGGGGCATTTTTGTCTAGATTTTCCAACTTAGTATAAATAGATCATTTTTCCATTTTTAGGGTATCAGATATTGTAATACAGTAGCTACGCTCGTGAGACGACTCTTCTTATCCATTTTGGGCATTTTTACTTAGTTTTCATCATTGAATCTTTGTCAATAACTTAACAATTAATTAATATGTGTTTATCTTCACCTATTTCTCTGTTTTTCTCTTCAAGTATGAGTAGCTAGACCCCATAGCTAGGGTTGTGGCTCAACCCTAGTGTGGGTAATTGATGGGTTTTGCATTTTAGGGCTAAATTGACTATCAGTGTTTGATATTTGGGTCAATTTCATGGTTAAATCGCTGAATTAGTGGTTGAAAACACTAGTTTGTGTTTAGTTGACTAGGTCTCTTCTTGAGAAAGAGAGCCCAAGTCTCCGAAATTGATCCAACAAGATATTGGGGCGTACTCAAGATATTGATAGCCCCAATAAAAGGGTAAAACCTCGAGAGAGTAATACCCGACTTGAACCCTAAGTTGCTTGAGTAAATTTGCATACCCACTGGTCTTGAGAAAGTCAATTGGGCAAAATCACTTGAACCACCGAGAGGTGTAGAGTGGGTAGAGTAGTGCAATGGTTATATCATACTCCCCAATCATGTCAATAGAGCCTTAGTTTCAAGTACCCATCAATTGACCACCTAGGTGGATGCCACTACCCTAGTGATTTTAGAATATTTGAACAACCCGTAGCACTTAACTCTTAGCTTAATTTACAATTTGTAGTTTGTTAAAAGTAGAATTATAAAAGAAAACCCCAAAAATTATGAGAAGTGCAATTTGGAACGCTACACAATCCTAGGCTAAATAGACACTCAATTCCAATTCTAGCTCTCTGTG